CGCTTTCCAGCGAAAGCGTACAAAGTACCTTCCCCCGTTCGAAACGGCCGCCATATTACTAGTTTTCAGGCTTCTCACGTGGAGAGCAGCCTGCGTGACGCGTGACTTTACTTCTGAGTGGCGGTGGGGGAAGGGGGCTCGGGGGGTAGTTGAATGATTTGGTGTACGAATGATTTTTTTTTTTCAACCCCTTCATTCACCTTGGAGTATGTGCTTGCATGATATTTTTTCTCCCTCCAACACTTTGCAAGAATTTTTTGTGGCATTGCTGTGTTGAAAAAGTAGCCTTTCCATTATATATCACTACTAATAATGATTTGTGAAATAATCTTTGAACAAGTATATAATTTTTTATCTAAGAGTATTGGACTGACCTTGATAATGCAGCACTTAACACTGAATATAAAAGCGGGGAGACAGAGAGCCCTTTGCTCTGGTGAAAGGAGTTAGGAACAAATTATGGAGCAGATTGGAAGGCAATTCAACACTCAGAGAGGTCTTGAGAGTAAAAAGCCAATTTTCTTTTCCAAACAATTTTTTACTTTATACATTTTCAATAAAATAGGCATCCCTGTTCCATTCCCTTTTGGCTGGACCAAAGAGCCAGTCCCCCTTGGTGGACTGAGCACTGCCCCTTGGTGAGTCCACGCTCAGTCCCCCAGGGTGCCTCCATTTGGGAGGTCAGTCCCTAGGATGCTCCCCAAGGGGACTGATTGTTGAGGTTCCATGAGACTGTCACAAAAGCTAACTGCAATGCGACATAATGGGCATTGTCAGTAACTTTCATTAAACAGAACAAGTGCCAAAGGTATTTCATATTGATTGTATTTATTTCACCTACTTCATGCATTTTTCCCTAAATATTCTTGCTAGCTTTCAACTTTGCATTTGCCCACTTGCTTAGTAAACCACAAGCATTTAAAATTGCATCATCACCTCTGCAGTGGGTGCTCAACCTAAATTTGGGTAGCAATTATCATGCTTCCCCAAATTTCCAATCTTTTATCTCTATGAAATGTCTCTCAGTGGCAATTTTTCTTTTTGTTTTGTGAGATTTACCTTGCAATTAGATGTACACAGAGATGTGCAAAGGATATTAAATACCAAAAAACATTTTCGTGTGCCCAGGAATAAACACGCCCCGGGGGGGGGGGGGGG